TAATACAATTCTTCACCTGCTGGCTTACCTTCGAATCCTCACACATGCAAATGCCCTACACACTGTCATTCGTCTCAAGCACTCCTCAACCAATTGCAACAACATACGTACAACTGGCATATACTCACCCTTGCAATAACTTGGTTTTTTGTGTTACTGCAGCTCTCGTGGAAACTGTACAGAACCACGTGGGGTCGTTGAATTGGGGCTATAAATTGGGCCTACGGTCCAACAAGGTCAACTACATCAACGCCACCGCGGCGTTTATCGATGCGCACACTGGTATGCATTCGCACGCGTGCTTGTATGTGTGTGTAAGTATGTTCGTGTACGTATGGTTTTGTGTGTGTATTCAATTCAGAGTCTATGTCCATTGATATATCTGCATACATATGTATTATATATATATATATATATATATATACATATCTGTCCGTGTCTGTGTCTGTGCCTGTGTTGGAATGACTATATATATATGTGTGTGTGTGTATCGTGCATACATATATATGTATGTGTGTGTCTGTGTCTGTGTGGTGTTACAAATCGGGGTTGCACTTTAACAACGCCAAGTTGTCCGATACGCTGACTATGTAGTCGCGCAAGTATAGATGTACCGATAGCTAGATTTCATCTATCACATGGTTTATGTGGCACACCAATGTGTAGCCAAGTATGGATATAACTCGCAATCAAATGTACCGTTCGGTCTGGATATGGGTGTCCAATCGGGAATAAGAGTAGGGCATGTGTTTCTATCGTGTATTATTATTTTTGGGCTATATGTCCTGGTTTGTAGTTATTGGTGTCGCAGTATCTTTGGGGTTGGCGGCTCACTCTAACATCGCGGTAAGTTATGCGCTTACTTTGAATTTACTCTTATATATATATATACTATTCGTATTGGAATTCACAGTCACATACACGCACGAGGGTGTTAAATAACCTCACTTTCACGATTGACATGTGCCGAGTGTGACAGGTGCTGGCGTTTATCTCATTATATCATTTGCATTGACTTCACAGTCACTTACACTCTCAAGGGTGTTGAAAAGACTCTTTCGGCGGCGAATCTGCTGATTGCCGTTGGTGGAAGGCCCGTCATCCCGGAATCGATACCGGGAGCTCTCGAGCATGCCATTACAAGGTGAGTTGGTACTGCTTTTAGTGCACCTGTATGCGTATATATATATATATGTATATGAGTGTGTGCGTGCGCTCGTGTGTGTGATGTTTAGACCATGCACTTGGATTGACAATTGGTGTAAAATCTTTGTGTAGCACTCAGTGCAAAACAATCAGAACCTTTGCACGGCTTGACATGTTCACTGATAATAACTCCACTCGTTAGACAATCTCTATGTTTATATATTTATGTATGTATATATATATATATAGTGTTGTGGCATCTTGGATTAAAACTTTCCATTATATTCAGCTATACATACCCACGCCTCTACTAACTTCATCTCTACCCCACCCCCCACGCGTGCCATACCCACCAGCGACGATATCTTCTCGCTCTATACGTCCCCGGGAAGGACTCTATGCGTAGGCGCCAGCTATATCTCTCTCGAGTGTGGCGGGTTTCTCAAGGAACTCGGATATGAGGTGGACGTGGCCATGAGAAGTATTCCACTGCGTGGCTTTGACCGACAGTGCAGTGAGAAGGTGGCGGACCTTATGGACAAGCTGGGTGTGACCTTCCACAAGCAGTACGTCCCGTCGCTGATCAAGAAGACCTCATCAGGTAAGGTTGTGGTGGAGTGGGGGGCGTAGAGTGGTGTGTATCTGCATGCATGTATGTTGGTGTGTGTTAGTGTGTGTATGTATGTTATGCGTGTTTTTGCGTGTATGTATGTTAATGTGTTTTAGTGTGTTTATGTGTGTATGTATGCTAGTGTGATTCTGTGTATGTGTATGTTAGTGTGTATCTGTATGTATGTAAGCTAGTATGCTTTTATATGTATGCATGGATGTATTTATGTTGTGTGCCTTGCCAGGTGTCTTTTTGTGTGGCTTTGTCTGATCTTGCAGTGCGAAGGCTGTCAGTCTAATTAAACGAGTCTTTAGATGTCATAGTTTCAACTTGGTTTATTATTTAGGGTACCTTTGGTGTCTGGCTCACAGTTGGCTTAGTTGACCCCGTGGTTATACTTTGGCTGTTTGGTCGACTCGTAATACTACAAGTACATGTACAATTAGAACAGTTGTATGCCCTGGCAATCAAGAGCCCCTTGGCGAGTACTGCTGTTTTGTCACACACATCTCGTAGCGGCTTCTAAGCGTGTCCGGGTGTGTTCGGTGGAGATAGTATGTACCAGTCACTAGCGTACCGGTATTAGTTACTAGGTTACCGGTATTAGTCACTAGCGTACCGGTATCAGTCACTATCGCACAGGTATTAGTTTCTAGCGTACCGTATGTCCGTGTATTTTAGGGTTTGACATAAGACAGATAATCAAATTCAATAGCAGACTGCAATATCTCCGAATTGACTTGTGCAGCCTTACTAAAATGTACCCAGCCTGGTATAAACAGGCATCAGTTAGAATCATTACAGAGCAATAAAGCATGTCCACCATAATGCACCCCCAGAACTCATTTTGTACTAACGCGTTCGTGCTTGTCGTTACAGGTGACTTGGAGGTTACCATGACACACACCGTCACCAATGAGGAGATCGTGAAGTCGTACAACACGGTTATGTTCGCCACCGGCCGCCGAGCGGACACTGATGGTCTTAACCTGGCTGGTAGGTGTGGCATATGGGAATAGTGTGATGGCACTGAGAGCATAGTCAGATATCAACAGATATCAACGTGTATCTGGGTATGTGTTTGTACATCGTTGTATTTATGTGGACATATACATTTAATAGATTGTGTAGTGAATTCGTACAACACGGGACACTGATGGTCTTAGCACGGTTTTCTATATATATAGATATATAGATATATATATATATCCGATCATTGTCCGATCGCATGGGCTTCTAGCTATCGATTTGATTGCGCTACTGCTCTGGCACTTCGCAACTGTCCATTCTGATACAGTCTACTCTACATCTCGGAACATCACTTATGCCAAATTATCATTGGTGTAACCCGAATTCTCACGATCCCCATTGGTCCACAGCTGCCGGTTTGAGTGCTCTACCCAATGGAAAGCTCGCTACAGACTACGCCGATGTGACGTCCGTATCGCACATCTACGCCATAGGTGACTGTGCACAAGAAAGGCCTGAACTGACTCCCGTAGCCGTTCAAGCCGGACAGTACCTTGCTCGCAGAGTGTTTGGTGGATCATCCAAGAATATGGTACGTTTTCCAAACAAGACCTGTGCTGTAATTCTGAGTCCTTTTGGGGGGGGGGGAATGGCCCCGGAAGCTGTGCAAATGGAACAGTTGTTTTTATTTGACGGTACAACCAAGGATAGGAGACGTGAAGCTACCAACTTTTCGAATCAATATATCATGAAGACAGTAATGACACGATGAAAGTTGCACTAGTTATGTATAACTATTACACATCTAATACACAATCTATACACATTTAACGCACAACTGATACATAACAATACACAATCAACACACAACTGATACACAATCAACACACAACTGATACATAACTAATACACAATCCTAATACACAATCAACATACAACTGATACACAATCAACACACAACTGATACATAACTAATACACAATCCTAATACACAATCAACATACAACTGATACATAACTAATACACAATCAACACACAACTGATACACAATCAACACACGACTGATACACAATCAACACACAACTGATACACAATCAACACACGACTGATACACAATCAACACACAACTGATACACAATCAACACACAACTGATACACAATCAACACACAACTGATACACAATTAACACACAACTGATACACAATCAACACATAACTAATACACAATCAACACATAACTGATACATAACTAATACGCAATTAACACACACACCTAATACGCAATTAACACACAACTGATACACAATCAACACACAACTGATACACAATCAACACACAACTGATACATAACTTTAACACACACACCTAATACACAATCAACACACAACTGATACACAATCAACACAACTGATACATAACTAATACACAATCAAAACACAACTAATACATAACTAATACACAATCAACACACAACTAATACACAATCAACACACAACTGATACACAACTAATACATAACTAATACACAATTAACACACAACTGATACATAACTAATACACAATCAACACACAACTAATACACAACTGATACATAACTAATTAACGACTAGCACATAGCTAACACCCAGCTGCTATACATACCATACATGCACGCATCAACAGGACTACAAGATGGTAGCCACGGCCGTGTTCACGCCCTTTGAGTACGGGGCGGTGGGATACAGTGAGGAGGATGCCTTGACCACCTTTGGCGAAGATGCGATTGAAGTATATCTATTCGAATTCACAACGCTGGAGGCGGGCGCCGTACATCGCAAGAAGCACCCCTCCCGTATGTATTGTATATATATATATATATATGTGGTTATAGCAGTAGTTTGAGAGCTACAACCGTGTGTGCTGATAACCGTGTGGGCAAAGTGTGTGCGAAACTCAGCTATGGCAAGTAATGTGAATGTTAGTTTTGGTGTTTTGAAGTTTAATAGTTGTACTATCGTCAAAAGGTTGCATCATGCCACCTAAAAGTAAGGTGAATGGTACTTCTGGTGTTTTTGAAGTTTAGTTCTTGTACTATGGCCATAGCGCTAGTGGTTTTAGGGTTACTAGTCTGTCTACTCATAAATAGCCGTATCATTATGGGCGCGGTCCATCGCAACTGACACCCCTCGCATATGTGTTCGAAACCGTTGTTCGTATAGTAAGAGTTGCCGTGTGCCCTTTCTGCTGTGTTGCGTTAGTAGTCTTATTATTGTTCCTGCGTCTTTCAGCATCATACAGCACACGTGACATGGGTCGGTGGAGGTGTATCTAGTGGAGTATATCTACCGCTCAGGCGATATATATATATATATATTCTGTTTCACAACTTGGTCCGTTGTGGTTGAGTGAGATAGCCACGCATGTGTGTAGCGTTTCTCGTTGCAATAACGGCAACGTTGATCAAGCCCAAGGCCACTTTACTGACCTTAAATCACAAATGAACTGATGACTCATCTCACAATCTATAAATAGGCATTGCGGACGAGTACGATGCCGACTTTGGCGATACATGCCTGGCTAAGCTGGTGTGTCTCAAGAATGAGAACGAACGGGTTGTTGGCTTCCATTTCATTGGCCCTAACGCCGGAGAGATCACTCAAGGTACGACACTGTGTCTACTGGATTCTATACACAGAACACATACGCACTCAGTGTGGTGGTGCAAATGTTATATATGAATGGAATGGGTTATGTCCTAGCGTGTCTGAGTTTGGTGGCGATGTGTGCCTGGATTGGATGTGACAAGGAGGTAACGAAGGCCTCTAAATACATGTGTGAAGATACATGCACGTAGTGTATGTTCCATACTTCTTGTTCATATATATTTCTATTCATATTCATATTCATATACATATTCGTATACGTGTACATGTATATACATATACGTATACAAATACATATTCGTATACGTATACGTGTACATGTACATATACAAATACATATGCATATGCATATCATCTAAATATATATATATGTGTGTGTGTATATATATATATATATATAGAGTTTAATTATGTATTTATTTATACACATAAAATATATCGATATATATTATAACGAGATTTGGACCGGGATTTGAATATATATTTGATGAAGAATCAATCGCCAGTCGTTGGACAGACTAGCAACCCGTTGGTATCTACCACTGGATCAGTGGGGTCTTCACATGTAGTATCCGTGCTGTGCAACATACATACCTCCGTGCAGGCTGTTTGTTTCCCGCTCAAGATATACATGTACATGGGAGTGTATTGCTTGCTCATTAGTCATACATATATACTACCTACAGGTTATGCTCTGGCCCTCAAAGCGGGTGTGACGAAAGCCATGTTCGATGACACTGTAGGTATCCATCCGACTGACGCTGAGTCGTTCCATGCGCTGGAGATCACGAGACGCAGTGGCAAGTCCTGGGTTGCTGAAGGCGGCTGTGGAGGTATGTAGTGAGTGTAGGTTACATACAAATACATGTGATCTTTAAGCTATATTTTTGTTTCATGTTACATACAAATACATGTTTTCTTTAAGCTATATTGATGTTTGTATGTTTTTAGGTATGTGTCCCACCACCCGTGGAAGTTGTGATTATTATGTTTGCATTAGCATGTCCTGGACGGCAGAGAATGATCATCGAGGTGAATAGGTAGTATTTGCATTTTAGAAACAGTTGTGTGTATATTTCTATATCTCTATTCTTGTTGCACACCAGAATTTAATCGAGTATATGCACTTTTGCACATACAAAGCTGCAATACCAATCTCTTCAATGCCACCAGTATGCCGTATATTTGAACAGTGTATCGTGTAAACACCAGTCCATATCTAACCGTGCCAGTACATAAGTGCTAAAATATCTGTATCTGTATGTTATACGAAACCTACCACATCTCTATGCGTTTCGAACCCTTTAATTTTTATTTTTATTCTATAATCCGACCGTGGCAGCTATTTGCACTATACTGACTATAGTCGTTTCTTTCGTTACCTGCAGGTGGTGTCTGCGGTTAAAATACGGGTGGTGAGAGTAAAGAGTCGAGCCAATTGCGCGAATTTGCGTACGGGTATTTGATGTCGCACAGACACAAGCAGTCTGGGTAAACTATCGAGAAACATGTGTCACGCGCCAGCCTAATAGTGACGTTCACGGATGCCCATAAACATGCACTGATCTCTGAGAATTTCTGAACTGTACCTAGTAGAATAGTATTAGAAAATGGTGACAAATAAAGTCGATTGCGTAAAAGTACAAAGTGCACTGGATACGGAATTTGCTTGAGAATAATTCAGGCCGTGAATGGTGTGTGTGTATTAATTGTTCGAGTGTTTCCACGTTGTTATACCTTCGTATACTCTACGGTTCTGTGGCCGTTAATATTTTGCCCTGTTTTTCGACATCGCAGCAATGAATTTATAAATTACCTGTAGCTTTGGTTGAAATACGAGGATATTTTAAAACTATTGTGTTGCTCTCGAAAGATAAAGTACTCTTGCCAAAACAGAGCTTGGATAGTTGAAGACAATTTGACTATATTTTATGGGATATAATTTTATAACGCGTTCTGATTTACGCAGAAAAATGCAAGAGAGTCTGTTAAACGAAGTGCTCGGATGAAGGAACTGTGCCTCTGAATAGTTTTTTTTGGTCACATCGCTCTGTGATGTACTGTTTAGGCAAATAGTCTTTCGGTAGAACTTAAAACTTGGGGGTAGAATGGAATTCGGCATATTTAAATACATAGTTTTAAGGTGCATTTGAGTAAGCATAGTTATTGTACTTGTTTTGTTTTGTCCTATCAGTCAATATTTAGGATATTACTGGGAAAAAAATTCCCCAAGTTTTTGGTAGGGCTTAAGGTTTCTTTAGTGTACCTTTCGGACCTGGATTTTTAGACTTTGGGCCTTTCAGGTTTGGCCGAGGGTTTGTGGATTCTGGTGATTGCCGGCGACGATCAAATCGGGATCAGAACAGAGAATTAGGGTCAGCATATATATATATATATATAATTCATGTTTCTTTGTCGAAAGATTCTTGCATCTTCATAGGATTGCTGAAAATAACAGTGTCAAAGCTCGCAACAATGGCCTGCGTTACCAATCAACTGCCTGAACATAATAAGCCATATCGAGCATTTCACGTATCCGCGAAAGTCAGATTAACGTTAAATGATCGCTGCTACATTGTATATCGAAGGACAATAATAGAGTAGGAAATACCTAGTAATTAGCGTAACGCATCAATGATTGTCTTTAAATACTGATGTATCCATATATCTGAATTACATATTTATTTTTTAATGTCCGAGTAACAAAGAGTTCTTCATACAGTTTGCTATTTAGCAATAATTTGGACAGGCCCGAAGGTAAACACATTTTCACTATACAGTTGGTTACAGTATCAAATTATACACCGCCGATGTTCCCAAATTGTACTGTATAGTCCATTGTAGAACATGGCCAGGAATGCATCCACAATGGTAGTGGTATACTGATGCTCAGTCGAGAAATTTTGAACAAGATTATAGTAGCCCGAAACCGAAGAAACACAGGTAGTACTGTGTTTGTCACCGGGTCTCCCTCTTTTAAGTCTCACTGGTGCTAGGATCTCTGTTGGGTGATTTTTGGCACCTTCCTGGATTTAAAGTATAGAGACTCGGGATTGCGGTGCAGGTCTTTAAGGGGAGGTTACTAGACATGTGATAATAAGAACGACGCCAAGCAATTATTTAGATATTCGACATAGCGTAGGAGACGGAAGTGTTTTTTTGGCGAGCGGAGCATCAAATTTGCATATTTTCAAATGCACACGGTGTGATATTATAGCGTCTTCATAGGATTTGCTTCAAATGTTTCACTTTTGCATGTTGATAAAAACCCTAATAGGGATGCTTGTCACATTCTGTATTCTAGGCGTAAACCATGCTAGTGAAGGAGACAACAAAGTACTTCGGAGTGATAGACTGATAGATACATTGTTTCCAATGCTTTCAAGCTCACTGCCTTCTTAGTAGTTCAGGCACTAATCACAACATTTGTCGATACAATTCGGAATTATAAACATATTGGCAGAGCGTAAGGTGGGGAAACAATCAGTAAAGCGACTTAAAAGATTGCAGGAACCTCACCGCTGTGAGTAGTTAAGTTCAAATCGAATGGTTAAATTATGTAACGAATAGCCTTTCAGGTACGGAGTGTGAGTGCATTGCCACTAAATTGCATTAAATTGCGATAATATCCTATCTGCACTCGGTAACGCTTGATTTTCTATATTGGAAATTCAGGCTTTTGAAGCGCCCTTGGTTTCCATTTAAAGTCGAGATTAAATATCAATATACCACCATCGGGCTCGATAGACCTTTTCTCGAGCAAATTACTTTCGGTCACAAGAGATGACATTGGGGCCGACTTGAAAGATTGCAGGAACTTCACAGCTGTGAGTAGTTATGTTCAAAACGAATGATTAAATTACGTAACGAATAACCTTTCAGGTACGGAGTGTGAGTGCACTGCCACTACATTGCATTAAATTGTGTTAATATTTTATCTGCACTTGGTAGCGCTTGATATTCTATATTGGAAATTCAGGCTTTTGAATCGCCCTTGGTTTACATTTAAAGAAGAGATTAAATATCAATATACCACCATCGGGCTCGATAGACCTTTTCTCGAGAAAATTACTTTCGGTCGGGAAAGCCAAGAGTTGAAATTGGGGCCGAACTATATACCATTGCACCTTTTTGTTTCTCTAAATACAATCGTTACGCGCGTGCTTTTACCTCGGTCTCATGAGTGATCCGAGGTGACATCTTCCGGTCTCGCAAGAAAAAGTTGGAAGTGGCGCATTGGACGGCTTCTGCAGTAGGCTGAATATATGTTGTGATATTATTTTGCTTCAGTGCTTTTACCATCACCTTTTCCTCTCTCCTGGCCATTCCTCCCGCCTTTCCCGCCGCGATCACTTCAGGCGGTCTCCACGGTTTGTATTTTCGCCTAATTGCTGCCGTTGTTGTTGTACTTGTGTCTAAGAGTAGCGTCGAACTGTCTGGTATTTGACTGTCTAACTTGTTCTGCATCTGTACGTTCGCCAACTCGCGATCGAATGGTGGTCGGACCTGCAGTTGCGGGTGGCGAAATTTATACTACATTGTGTGTCACGGTATAGTGCCGTTTTCCCTCTACACCTTCCTCATCTTGACCTCGGACTAGCATTTTTCAAATCTAGTATGGCGAGAACACGTAAAGAAACAACGCGTATATGCACACACTAGTGCAATTATAGTGCTACTTGCCGGTCAAGGCCAATATTGTATAAAAAAAAGTTATACACGAACCACACTTCTTGGAAGCATCATCACACGGAGTCTTCAGAAAATAAAAAGGTGAGGCTCTCTTGATTTTAGGTCTTGTGGCTGTGCCGATATTTTCAGTCTACATATTTCCAAGCTAATCAAATACTATTTTAAACATTACAGGATAATCTTGATGATCCCAATAATACCGCCAACCTGGCTGTCCGGCGCTGGTGAATTAGTGAGGGTGAATGTTTATGCAACGGGGTAGCGCTGATGAATTTGATTTTTTAGGCTTTTGTGAGGCACATCTGCTTATTTCTCCTTTTTATTTTCAAGCTTGCTAAGGTAACCTTAGCCCTGTATCGAGTGTCTATTCAGCATCGTCCGTGCTCATGTGATCAGAAAATCACAGCCAATAATGAACTCCCACATAAATGATGCTGAAACCTAGCAACGGTACGGAGAATACTATTTTTGGGCCAGCTTTACTCCACGTGGGCCAGCTTTACTCCACGTGGGCCAGCTTTACTCCACGTGGGCCAGCTTTACTCCACGTGGGTCAGCTTTATTCCACGCAATGGCACACAGGTTTTAGTTCTCACCCAATGTTAGAGGTATTCTGTATCCATCGTCGTGAACTAGCGCACCGTATGTCTTGCACCGTTGTATCACTCACCCCGAGCTTCTCGCGGCAGTTCGACAATCTTAACTTCCCTACAATTTTCCCAGAATCGGTGCGCTAATTCACGACGATGGATACAGAACACCAAAAACAAATTATACAGCATAGGTATAATTTTGTTCGGGTGTTTGTCTTCTACATTATCCCTACTCGGAATGAATTCTGAGTGTTCGGAATCCCCACCAAAAAAGCTTTTTACTATCCACTGGATTAATTTTAGCTGCTTATACGGGGTTGAAGGCTATTGAATATCTAATATTGTCCCTACTGAGAACAGTTTGGGTGTTGGAAGTTAAACGGTCGTTAACAAAATTGACATCTCAATGTATTTCGATCTAAGACAGGATTTACACCCTGAAAATCCGCCTTTTTACTGTTTACGGATTGATTTCGGCTGCTTCTACGGGGTTAAAGGCTGGTTAAAGGCTAATGAGAATAGTTCGAGCGTTGAAAAGAAAACGGTCATCAATAAAAATGCCATCTCAAAGTATTTTGGTCTAAGTTGCAAGCTGGTGGTCAGTATCCACGAGATGGAGAAAATTGCAGAGGTGAGAAGAAGAAAATCGCACGCCAGAGAGACTTGCACAACAAAGAGTGTGATCATATCTTAAAAACACTGATTTAAACGGCTATGAAAATAAAAATCGAACCACAGATCACATGAACGATGACAAGGAGGAAGCTACCAATATTTGAAATACGAGAGATAGAAGCTATACGACCCCGCCTTTGACTTGAGATGAATGAGTATCACCGTTCCTGGTACGACTTGTTTAACCTCTACAATATTGATCAGTATATCGAGGCCATAAGGCTTTATCTCGGAAATCTTCTTCATGATTTTGGTATCACTTTTAGCATTACTTATATATTTGAGGAGTGTGGTGTCAAAAAAACGACATGGCAAAAGCCAGCAATGTACCCTTGTATGCGGCATCAATGAATAATTGTGGTGGTCGACCGCAGTTTCGTCCATTGTGAGTGTCTATCCCGCCACACAGTTCAAGATTGGTGAACAACCTCACATCCCCATTGTATACCGATATGTACACTACCTACGTACAAATTCCATGTTTTGCAATCAACAGTGTCAAAGTGCGCAACCATTTCATCCAGAACACTGTCCGAAATGGCCAGTATTTCACTACGGTTAATGGACCATAGTTTATCCCGTGTTACGCAAGTCTATGCCGAAATATCCATTAGTGAAAAAAGAGTAGAGAGTCCTTCTTCACAAAAATGGAAAAGTTATTTACAGTACTTTCGTGAGGAAATACTCTAAATGTACATGAACATGTACATAAAATTTTAAGGGTATGTTTTTCAATTGCCCAATCAAATTTGCTAGATGTGATGTTCAATTCCTTTCTCAAACTTATTTCAAATAAAGGTTTAGATAAAGTACATTTACATCGAGACTTTTTTTTATGTACAATACATATTAGTGACTTTCCAGTGCTGTAATTTTTTATGACACCTGGGTTCAACGCAAAAAAAGAAATCGTCCGGTTCAAAATGCCGGTGAGTGTGACAACTGACAACCGACTCTAAAATCTGCAAATCTTGTGTGGATGTAAAGCAAAAATGTACCTGTGTGAGTAGAAGTACAAGAAATGCACACAGCTTTAGCACTTTGAATTACAGTTCGCATACGATACATGATACACCTATTTACCTGGACTGGTAAACGACATGTCGTTTCCTCAAGCCAAGACATGCACTTTTTTTCTTGTAAAAATTTAAAACTGACCAATAAGATACCATTAATTAATATCCACCAATGACATATAGATATGCTAAACGGTTTGCACCTTGTCAAAAATCAACGAAATACATCTTTTGAATTTTTGAGTGTCCCGTCTCTCACTCTCACTCTTTCAGACTCTCCGAGAGTCCGAGTCTCCGATTCCAGTCGTCCAACTGACCGGCACCAGCCGTCTAAGTCTAACATTCTATTTCAGTCGACATCGTTTTGCAGCCCGCCTTAACAACCGTTAGAACTCGAAACATGGGAAAAGTCAGAAACGGATACCTCGGGCGCCATTCTGTTCCTCTTTGTTCACTGTTCAGTGTTCGCTGTGTGTTGTGTTTCAAGTCTTTCAACCTGTAGCGTTGTCTGACTGTCAGCACGATGTGTAATAATACTTGCCTCCTTCGAGAGGAAGCTATAAGGTCGAGTTGTGTTGTATTAAATCTTTGCAATATAGTAGATAGCCACGTAGAGTATACGTTGCACATCACATCACAACCACGTCTCACCACATCACAA